TAACTTATGTTAGGCCTAAGTTCGATAAAGAGATAAATAAATGATGTAACCTGTTTACGTTTTTTTTTTTTTTTTTTTTTTTTTACTTTTGTTTAGTTACGACTAAACTTTACTGTACTTAATACTATCGATAAGTAAACTTATAATGTTATTCTACGACCTAACGTCAAACCTTTTTTTAAAAGTTTTTAATATTCTGTTGTACAAAATGATTATTAAAGTATACTTACATTCCCCTTTTGTTGTTATTTCTTGTTTCATACAGCAATTGTAGCGAGCGATCACTGAGCCTTGCAGCTCTCTGCCGCAGGCACACTGTTTGTCGTCGAGTGAATAATGCGCATGCGCGGTTTTTCTTGGGGAAACATTCTAATTACGCATGCTTATGCAGCAGGTTCTCGGTCAGAAAGCGTAACGGTCGTACATACAAACAAGCAGAATAATAGTATAGATATTACTTTTTTAGCACATTGCATTGGTTATATTTATAGGCTTGTGGAGAGTTTCTAGAAAATTCAGATTATGTAACAATACAAAGCTACATTAAGCGTTTACGTACATACATATATTGTTGATTCTTACACTCGAGTATCTTCTACAACTTTAGAGAATAGGCGGGAGTTTCGCAATACATATTTAACGCTATAAGCTATGCATATTACTAAATATAAACTTAAACTAAACAAAATAAATATATAATAATAAATCCGTCACAGCACTTAGTAATCTACCAGACATTTTTAATACATCATTGCTTATCGATTACATATTTCAGGTTTTTCAAGGACTTAGCAGAGAACGTTTTATTACGAAAAGCAAAATATATAGATGATTACATGGGAGGTTTTCGGAAACCAATTCAGGTAAAATCTCCAAATAATGCATGCATCTAGTGAACCAAATATTACTTAATAAATCCTTTTAAGGATAAACATGGGTGATTCTTGTACTTAAAATAAGTTTTTACCTTGTTCTAATATATCTGTTCTTAACATAATATTCTTAATATCTTAATAAAATTCGTTAAAAATAGTAATAAAGACCACTTGGTGTTTTGTTTCGGTCCGATACGTTGAATCGTCTTAATACTGTTCATTCATTTTATACGTTAACTTATTTACTGGAACTCATTTACTGGAATAACGGGCACAACTGAACTATGAATGGTAAGAATGGGGTAATTTGTAAACTATACGACATTGGTTTGTTTGTCTTATGAATTTCGCGCAAAACTACACGAGGGCTATCTGCGCTAGCCGTTCCTAATTTAGCAGTGTAAGACTAGAGGGAAGGCAGCTAGTCATCACCACCCGCCGCCAACTCTTGGGCTACTCTTGTACCAATGAATAGTGTGATTGACCGTCACATTATTACAACGCCCCCACCACCTGCCCATGCCGGGCTACAACATTGGTTTTCGTAAAACACGTTTTAACATTATACGTCAATGACGGGCTCTACTTACAGATTAAGGTGCTAATACTAACTATGGCATCACGTACACCTACCTGCGCAGAGTAAACTCGCTAACTTTTTGGGAATGGCTCATTCATTTATGGATATAAATCTCAATAAAAATGGGCAGTCTGACAGAAAATAAGGCTTAGCTTTTTTCCTGAGGAAATTATTTCCGAAATCCAGTAACAAATAATCGGTGATATTTATTTTATTTTGTAAAAACAATGTATGAGCTTACTACTAGGAAGATTGTGTTAAGTAGCCTAGAGGTATCACTAGTGATACGCTTAGTAGTTTGGGGTATCAAAGTTAAGATACGACATTTAGAAAAAAAGTCTTAATTAATTAAAAGTCTTAAATAATAACGTATTCATATCTTAAATCATTTTGTTTGTTTATTTGTTGTTAAGGAGAAAGTTATACGATTGGCTATCTGTAATGTGTCCATTACGTGTATCGAAACTGGGATTTTAGCGTTATAAGCCTACAGACGTAACGCTGAGCCACTAGAGGGCAAATAATTTTGATGCATGATATCATTATTTTTTTACTTATGTCGTATTATAGCTTTAAAACTACACCATGAAAAAATAGTAAGTATTTTTGGGGAAATCCTAAACTAATCAACACGATAGTGTTATTATAAAGGCAGTAAGACCAACTGCTAATTTTTATAAAAACAAATTAAATTTTAATATCTCCATTTATATATATATTATTAGATTTCAAACATGATTGATCAGAAGAAAGCTTAGCCTTTTTTGTTGTTGTTGTTTTCTATCAAATCGCTATTATGTCTTCTTAAATTAATAAGATATTCCAGAAACATTGTGACTACACCCCCGGGCAGGTGAATGTGCCACCTTAAGTTAGGCACGTTGTTTCATGTTCTTGTCGATCGTTAATTAGCAAATGTATATATATAGACGTGTGCATGTTGATATTAGCTGTTTCTTTGAAACAGAATTTCACAACATAAAACTCTAATAAAAGAATGCAGCGCGAGACTGAAGAGGGTGCACGAATGTGTCGAAACTAGTTTGTCTAATTGCAAGTTTTTTGATAGTTTGTTTTATTTATCGTGGCTTTTTAAGTAAAACGCTTATAATAGTAGGTACGGGGCTACACAATTAATAAATGTGGCTGATAAAACTATGTTTCTTTTATCTGTTTAAGTAACAAAGTACTACCTGCTTTTACAGTACCGCTGATTTGTTTTTAGAACATGTACGGGTACTGTTCCGTTAAACCCCCGCAAATGGTAAGCTTTTACGATATGTATACAATGTTTATTAATATATTTTTTAGAAATTTATTATGGGCATTTACTATATGAATAAAATGCATATTTATATGTATATTTATCTATAAATATTTATATATATTGGTCCTCCAGTGGCACAGCGGTATGCCTGCGGGCTTACAACGCTAGAAACCGGGTTTCGATACCCGTGGTGGTCAGAGCACAGATAGCCCATTGTGTAACTTTGTGCTTACCTTTAACCAAACAAACCTTGCTGTAATACTTAATCAGTAAATAAACTCACAACAAAAGTAATACTCGATTTAAAGTTTTACTTCTACAGTGGCAAAGAAAAAAATCCTTTGTGATAATTTTCCATTGCCAACAAACAGCTACACAATCTAATGTGTTCACATTATGACGACTTTGTCGTTATCCCCCCCCCCCTTTTTTTTTAAATTCTTTCCCAATTGAGTTAAAAGTTGGGAAAATTATATCTACAAAAATGATGATTGAAAAATGATATTAAATATTTTTATTTATATACAGATCATACCATCTGTCGGCCTTGATGTGCACTTTGACCTACGCAGCAAAACTGAGAAGGAGCCCGGACTCCCCAGTTCACATGGGACAATGCACGTGCAGCTCCATTTCAAAGTGAAGCTTCCGGAACATACAGATCACGTTGTGGCACTGCAAAATCACCTTAGACTTGTCAAGCTCTGTTTCGAGAATAGTTTTCTACGGAAAAAGGTAATTTTTATGTTCTTTTCTTTGCTACAAATTGTTCTGTGTGTTGCGATTTTAAGCTAAAAAAATTAGAAATACATCGAAATAAAATAAAAGTACATAGTTTCAGTAATAAATGTTATTGGTTGGTATTTATAGGCTTAACTGTCTTAACATTAATCACCCAGTGGCACAGCGGTATATCAGCGGACTTACAATGCAAGAAACCAGGTTTCGATACCCGTGGTGGTGCAGAGCACGGATAGCCCATTGTGTAGCTTTGTGCTTAACTTCAAACAAACAAACAAAATCTTAACATTAAGATTTTTATTTAATGTTACTATTCAACAAAAATTGATAATTACGAACGGCGATGTTACTATTCGACAAAAATTGATAATTACGAACTGCGGTGTTAGTATTCAACAAAAATTGATAATTACAAACGGCGGTGTTACTATTCGACAAAAATTGATAATTACGAACGGCGATGTTACTATTCGACAAAAATTGATAATTACGAACTGCGGTGTTAGTATTCGACAAAAATTGATAATTACGAATGGCGGTGTTAGTATTCGACAAAAATTGATAATTACGAACGGCGGTGTTAGTATTCAACAAAAATTGATAATTACGAATGGCGGTGTTAATATTCGACAAAAATTGATAATTACGAACGGCGGTGTTACTATTCGACAAAAATTGATAATTACGAACAGCGGTGTTACTATTCAGTAAAAATTGATAATTACGAATGGCGGTGTTAGTATTCGACAAAAATTGATAATTACGAACGGCGGTGTTACTGTTCAGCTTTCGTTTAGAAATGTAATGGTCCTTTTCTATCATGCTACTACTGTACTAGTAATAATACACTTAAAGGTGTAGAGGGGCAAATGCGGTTCAGGATCCACTTTCTACCAATCGTTGGTAGTCTTTATCTTCTTAAAGTCTGGGATGATAAACTACAGACACGTCTGATAATTTTAAATTAACTTTTGTCAACATTTTCAAATACTTTAGAAACATTATGTATTTACGTTCAATATACAGTTTTGCACGCAGTGGGGGGGGGGGGGAGATCTGGACGAACCCCCAATTTTTGTGATGTAAAGAAACTGTGCTTATATAGTTGTAGCGCAGCTGCTTATGGTATTTAACGTTTTCTACATAGTCTTCATTCTTCTGATGGAGCATTATCATTTTATGGCTTGAAATATTCGCATACAATGGCTTCCGTTAACATTTTGTAACTGAAGCTGAAGTCCGAAGCCGTATTGCTGCTGTCAGGTTTTGTAAGCCTGATTCTTTACAGTAGGTGTCTGTGACCTGTGTGACAGGTTGTTTCAAGTACTTTAGAACACAATTGACAAGAGGAATTATTCTTCTCTTCCCTGTTATTACAATACGGTTTGTGATAATTTCACTTTAAAAATCGTCACTATACGCCCTTTATCACTAAACTCACAATCACGCACTCTAAATCTAAATAATAATCTTTCGACACGTATTTATACCCCAACAGAAGTCTAGAACATTCCATTAGATATTCTGATGCGATGATACTCAATTAAAACAATGAGAAAAATTCAAAAAGTTCTCGTAACATGCCACAACACTATAACAATCGCTAACTCATAACATTTGAACTTACATACTACACAGCGTATGATTGATAAACAATTACGTAAACAAACTTACCATAAACTCTCGCTTCTAAAAATAACTAAGTATCACATCTGTGCTATATAAACTACCCAAATCATAAGGCTGGCATTAAACTTAAACTGAAACAGTCGTGTATATCTAACAGCTACACGTGGGTTTGAGATTAAGCATTTTTGTATGTTTTTTATTATTATTTTGGTACAAGGAAGGAGCTGAGAATTGTGCTAATCTTAAACCCATTTGAAACTTACTCTCTATACCAGTAAGAATGATACAGTTTTTTGACCACATTATCAGTAATCTTTCCTCCAGATGCACGTGTAAACCAAACAGCTTCAATTCAGAAACTTATTCCATCAAAGCACACACACACACAATAGTTTTGTATCTCTGATATCAGACGGGCTATAGATTTCTACAGGGATTATTTGCCAAATCCTGATATTTTTTTTATGAAGAACTTCATCAGTGGAAGACAAGATGTCTTTCTATACCTCTTCGGGACAGGCTTCAGATACTGACTGGCTGCTTAAAAGCGTGCTTCAGTGTACCAAGTATATTTATGTTACTGAAACCTTTTGCCACTAAGTTCCTGTGAACGTTCGGAATCTGCTCTCAGCCGGTTTAACAGGTGTAGACAAACCGAAGAAAGACTGAATGCTCTAGCTTTAATACATAATTAGTAAGACACTGCTATCAACATTGAAACTGTATGTAAGTTATTTATGGAAAAGCAGCCCAGAAGAATGGAGCATGTTAACATGTTACTTCAGTAGTGTATACATGTACGTACATGATTGAAATAGCCATTATACTATTGTCGTACAGAGTTGTTTAAATTAGTAATACAATTTAACTATTAATATCTACTCTGCTTGTAGATAATACAGTACTTTTACTATAATAAAACATACATATTTAGGGTAATTTAAGCCTAGCTCCCCATTCAGTGTTACAACAGAATGTTGATTTGTTGACTCTCCATTGGATGTTTGTGGATTTTATGTGAATTTTAAGCTATATTTCATGTAAAATTACTTCCAGATTGTATCTCATAGCACCTATTTTTTTTTTACATTTTCTGAGGGGCGTGCCCCCAGACTTCAATAAAATTAGCATGCTCAGTGATGTGATTATTTGACTTTGTTACATTTCAAAACTGCCCGACAGTATTTAAAACCATTCCAGACAGATATGGTAGACTGTGTAGTACACGATTATATACTTTGAAGTGTATTTTATGTTTTGATTTCTAGTGCACTGATATCTTCCCTTAGTGATATTTTACTTCTCAGATATAATTATGTTGCCTCCTACTTCTAAAGACAAAGGATACCTCGCACCTTAATTTACGCTGTACTTTCCTCGACGAACGGCCCTTTCATCCGTGGGGGCGTTATAATGTGACGGTCAATCCCACTATTCGTTGGTAAAAGAGTAGCCCAAGAGTTGGCGGTGGGTGGTGATGACTAGCTGCCTTCCCTCTAGTCTTACACTGCTAAATTAGGAAGGGATAGCCCAGATAGCCCTCGTGTAGCTTGGCGCGAAATTCATAACAAACAAACAATCCTCGACGAACAGTATCTCTCAGATGTAATTATGTTGTCTCCTACTTCTATCCTTTATACCTCGCACATTAAATTACGATCTACTTTCCTTGACGAACAGTATCTCTCAGATGTAATTATGTTGTCTCCTACTTCTATCCTTTATACCTCGCACATTAAATTACGATCTACTTTCCTTGACGAACAGTATCTCTCAGATGTAATTATGTTGTCTCCTACTTCTATCCTTTATACCTCGCACATTAAATTACGATCTACTTTCCTCGACGAACAGCATCTCTCAGATGTAATTATGTTGTCTCCTACTTCTATCCTTTATACCTCGCACATTAAATTACGATCTACTTTCCTTGACGAACAGCATCTCTCAGATGTAATTATTCCAGGCCACATTTTCTAGAAGAGGGATGTCTCGCAGTTAAAAAAATTGTTTTTTTTCTCCGTTCTTATACAACATAAATAACAACCATATGGATGCTTTCCTATACCTTCTTAGAAATAGTTAATTTCATAATTACAATTTTAAAGTGTTTGTTTCCTGGGGGGGGGGGATCATATCCAAAGTAATGATTATTTAATTCTTAATTTTACTAGACAGAAAATGTTTCATTGTGGTTTGAATGGACTCAAGTTCTTCCTCCCCCATCAAGAACGTTGTTACTACAACATAAGTTACAACAAGGTCTTACAGCAGAAGAGATGATTATTTGGTAAGAATCATATTTAACTTGTTTTGTTAATCTTTTAACGTGTATTTTTCAGTGTTCATAGTTTGTTTGTTTGTAGTTAAGCGCAAAGCTACACAATGGGCTGCCCCCCAGTGGCACAGCGGCATGTCTGCGGACTTACAACGCTAGAAACCGGGTGCCGATACCCGTGGTGGGCAGAACACAGATAGCCCATTGTGTAGCTTTGTGCTTTATTAGAAACAAACAAACACAATGAGCTATCTGTGTTCTGCCCACCACGGGTATCGAAACCCGGTTTTTAGCGGTCTAAGTCCACAGACATATCGCTGTGGCACTCATGGATGTTCTTAGTTAGGAGGTTGTTTCAGGGGTCTTCTGCTAATTTTGACAATGGACATGTTGATGAGGCTATTTAAGTAAAACTGATTTAAACGTAATGAGGAATTTTAAAATCTTATTCGAACAATTTTATCCTACGTGTATCTGTCTCAGCACTGGTCAACCAAAAACTTTCTCCTAAACTTATAAAATGTATTGTAGAAATTGCTTAAAGGGTTTTTTATATTACATTAACAATAACTTCTGATCAAAGCACATTAACTTCATAACTCATAAATAACATAATACCGGTCTAACTAAGAGTGCGTAATGTCATAATATTACTTCATAAAAAGTTGTTTTTTTTACTTTAGTTTTTAATCTTAATTTCGATTGGCTCCCTAAAGATACCGATTGTATAGTGTACAAAGCGTTTAGTATTTAGATATTACAGTCATTTAATGTTCATTTATTATTGGCTGCTAATTTCTGTTTCACCCTGCCCCTCAGCGGCACAGCGGTATGTCTGCGGACTTACAACGCTAGGAACCGGGCTTCAATACCCGTGATGGGCAGAGCACAGATAGCCCATTGTGTAGCTCTGTGCTTAACTACAAACAAACAAACATAAAAAGTCCAACTGTAAAGTTTTAATTGTGCGTAATCTATCAAAGAGTTAACTACAACTGAACTTTCTACGAAAGAACAACCCTGAAAAAGTCATTAATTCAAGCAAAAGAAAACAACGTGCTATAGATAAGCTCGCGTTTAAAGCGCAAATCATAGAATATTAACAAAGTAAAAAATATAAATGTTTTTTAGGTGCAAAGGAATTAGCACTGATTTGTTTCTCTTTCAACGTTCCCCCTTTTTATTGTTTGTTTTTCTAGTCGCTGGATGGCGCTGTCTAAACTGATCTTGAAGAGGAGAATCACCGTTAGTTGTGCCTTGTTGTTTACCATGCTGGAAGAAATAAAACAGATTCGAACAAGGGACGATGACTGGCAAATCTCTGAAGAGTTATCTCAAGCCTACACTTCCATGATGGCTTCCTTCACGAATTACCTGTGTTCTCAGCTCAGACATTTTCACGGTTTATTTGATCTGTCAGATCAGACGTCAACTTTCGAGCTCATTAGTCTCCTTCAGTAAGATGGTTCTTCTCTCTCTTTCTCTCTCTTTTTTTTTTTTACATGAACTGGTTTGGTTCGAATTTCGCCCAGAGCTACACGAGGGCTCTCTGCGCTAGACACCCCTAATTTAGCAATGAAAGAGTAGAGGGAAGGCAGCTAGTCATCGTCACCCACCGCCAACTCTTGGGCTACTCTTTTTTACCAATGAATAGTGGGATTGGCCGTAACATTATAACGCCCCCACGGCTGAAAGGGTGAGCATGTTTGGTTGGACGGGGATTGCGAGTCTAGCACCCTAACCACCTGGCCATGCTGGGCCATTTTACATGAAATGCGTTAGAAGAGGTTTTAAATAACACGAGTATATTATTGTCATAAATGGGTGAATCTAAAAATTTGGAATTCTTTTATTTCACGTTTTAGATATTACCTTTGAAGTTCTTTCTTACTCAGTTGGTTGGTTGTTGTTTTTATTTTTAAGCACAATGCTACAGAACGAACTAGCTGTGCTCTGCCCACCAACCACGGGTATCGAAGCCCAATTTTTAGCGTCGTAAGCCAAAAGACTTACCGCTGAGCCACTTTGGGGAGGGGGGTGGCTTATTACTAAAACAAAAAGAGTAAAGAACAACTTTTAGATCAGTTGGATTATCACGAGAAAAAAATAAAGGAATAAAATAAGAGGTAGGTCAACATAGTAGATCAACAGTATTTGAGTGGCAATTTATATTAACACTTAGTTGATTATAAAAATAGAAAAATTCGAACACAGACGTTTTTTACATCATCGAATGAAACTACAAGAGCCCTGTACAACCAGATTATAAATTGTTTTGTCATAACGGCTAACTTACAAGCCCTGTACAACCAGATTATAAATTGTTTTGTCATACCGGCTAACTTACAAGCCCTGTACAACCAGATTATAAATTGTTTTGTCATAACGGCTAACTTACAAGCCCTGTACAACCAGATTATAAATTGTTTTGTCATAACGGCTAACTTACAAGCCCTGT